CTAAAGTAGGGAGCCAAGAGATAAAAGGAACAGCAGGTAAGTTTGGCATTGGAGTTCAAAATGAAGCAGGGGAAAGGCTAATAGAGTTTTGTCAAGAGAACAAGCTGGTCATCACAAACACTCTTTTCCAACAACACAAGAGGCGACTCCACACATGGACATCACCAGATGGGCAGTAGCGAAATGAGATTGATTATATTCTCTGCAGTCAAAGATGGAGAAGCTCTATACAGTCAGCAAAAACAAGACCTGGAACTGACTGTGGCTCTGATCATCAGCTTCTTATAGCAAAATTCAAGCTTAAACTGAAGAAAGTAGGAAAAACCACTGGTCTAGTCAGGTATAATCTAAACCAAATCCCTTATGAATATATAGTGGAAGTGAAGCACAGATTTAAGGAACTCTATTTGGTGGAGAGCGCCTGAAGAACTGTGGCTGGAGGCTCGTAACATTGTACAGGAGGCAGCAACAAAAACTATCCCATGGAAAAGGAAATGCAAGAAAGCAAAGTGGCTGTCCAACGAGGCCTTACAAACAGCAGAGAAGAGAAGGGAAATAAAATGCAAGGGAGATAGGGAAAGTTACAGAAAATTGAATGCAGATTTCCAAAGAATAGCAAGGAGAGAGAAGAGGACCTTCTTAAATGAACAGTGCAAAGAAATAGAGGAAAACAATAGAAAGGGGAAAACCAGGGATCTGGTAAAAAAAATTGGAGATATTAAAGGAACATTTTGTGCAAAGATGGACATGATAAAGGACAGAAATGGTAGGGACCTCACAGAAGCAGAAGAGATCAGGAAGACATGGGAAGAATACACAGAGGAATTATACCAGAAAGATCTGGACATCCTGGACAATCCAGATAGTGTGGTTGCTGAGCTTGAGCCAGACATCCTGGAGAGTGAAGTCAAGTGGGCTTTAGAAAGCATGGCTAACAACAAGGTCAGTGGAGGTGATGGCATTTCAGATGCTAGCAAGGTTATGCTCAAAATCCTACAAGATAGGCTTCAACAGTATGTGGACCGAGAACTCTCAGAAGTACAAACTGGATTTCGAAGGGGCAGAGGAACTAGAGACCAAATTGCTAACATGCGCTGGATTATGGAGAAAGCCAGAGAGTTCCAGAAAAACATCTACTTCTGCTTCATTGACTACGCAAAAGCTTTTGACAGTATGGACCACAACAATTTCTTAAAGAAATGGGAGAGCCTGACCACCTTATCTATCTCCTGAGAAATCTATATGTGGGAGAGGAAGCAACAGTTAGAACTGGACATGGAACAACTGATTGGTTGAAAATTGGGAAAGGAGTACGACAAGGCTGTATATTGTTGCCCAGCTTATTCAACTTACTGTATATGCAGAATACATCATGCGAAAGTCAGGACTGGAGGAATCCCAAACCAGAATTAAGATTGCTGGAAGAAATATCAACAACCTCAGATATGCAGATTATACCTCTCTGATGGCAGAAAGTGGGAGGAATTAAAGAAACTCTTAATGAGGGTGAAAGAGGAGGGCACAAAAAATGTTCTGTAGCTCAGCAGAAAAAAAAAAACTAAGATCATGGCCACTGGTCCCATCACCTCCTGGGAAATAGAAGGGGATCTGGAGGCAGTGACAGATTTTACCTTCTTGGGCTCGATGATCACTGCAGATGGTGACAGCAGCCACGAAATTAAAAGACTCCTGCTTCTTGGGAGGAAAGCGATGACAAACCTCAACAACATCTTAAAAAGCAGAGACATCACCTTGCCGACAAAGGTCTGCATAGTCAAAGCTATGGTTTTTTTCCAGTAGCGATGTATAGAAGTGAGAGCTGGACCATAAAGAAGGCTGACCGCCGAAGAATTGATGCTTTTGAATTGTGGTGCTGGAGGAGACTCTTGAGAGTCCCCTGGACTGCAAGGAGAACAAACCTATCCATTCTGAAGGAAATCAACCCTGAGTGCTCACTGGAAGGACAGATCCTGAAGTTGAGGCTCCAATACCTTGGCCATCTCATGAGAAGAGAAGACTCCCTTGAAAAGACCCTGATGTTAGGAAAGTGTGAAGGAAAGAGAAGGGGACGTCAGAGGATGAACTGTTTGGTCAGTGTTATCGAAACGACCAACATGAATTTGGCCAGACTCTGGGAGGCAGTGGAAGAGAGGAGGGCATGGCGTGCTCTGGTCCATAGGGTCCTCGCCTCTGGAATAACCTTCCTCCTGAGATTCGTATGGCCCTGTCAGTGGGTATCTTTAAAAATCAGCTAAAAACATGGATGTTTCGGCAGGCCTTCCCCTCAGTTAATTCCTGATGTCCCCCTTTTTTCCTCCCCCCCTATTGTTTGCCCCTATTTTGTTGACATGTTTTTATTATGTAAAAACTGTTTTATATATATTTTCATTGTGTATTTTTATGTTGTAAGCTGCCTAGAGTGGTCTTAACCGACTAGATAGGCGGGATATAAAATAAATAAATGAATAAATGAATAAATGAAGAGTCAAACATGACTTAATGACTAAACAACAACAACAATTCAAAGAGTTGTTGTTAGGTCTAGCCATGGGCTTATGCATGTTCTGTGGCATTTTTTCTTTTTGAATTGCAAACTATAATGTTACAGATTCCTTTCAAATGATTCAAAAATGGTTTGCTGTGCGCAAGAATGACAGCTGTTTGAGCAAAAAGAGTTTAAAGTCTGGCGAAACGTTAGGAAGAACAACCTTCATAACATGGCCAAAGAGCCCGAAAAACCCACAACAACTATTAGATCCCAACTATGAAACCGTTTGTGAATATATTTTAAAGTCTCATTGGGGCACATAGAATTGATTGTGTGATTCTTTAAATACTGCTTTCTGAATTTTTGAAAATTCGTGTTAATCAATCCATATAATTCCATTGACCGAAATGCACAACAATTGGTTACTCTAATTTGACAGTTTTCAACCTTGTCTACATATCTAAAGAGAAGGTGGTAGTGGTGGTGTTGTCAGCATGATTTCTGATCAGCCATGTATTTTATATAAGACCCATTCTTATTACACAAAAGGAATTTATAAGAGTTCCACCTAGATTATCTAGATCAGTATCTGAACGAACAGGGATGAAGTGCACCATGATTTTTATAGTGTTCATAATTTCCTTTGTAGAACAGTGCTTATTTTAGTAAAAGAAAATATTCAGATAAAATCCCTCCAGAGAGAAGACTGCAATTAGAAAATCTCTTAATGCAGTATTTAGTATTTCATGGCAAACTTCTTAATGTGATTTAAAATACGTTCTACAACTGTCTGTGAGTATATCTTATCTATTTTCATTAAAGCCTTTTACAGTAAGCAATTTTCATCGTCACCAAAATGTCTTGCTTTCAAATTCCTTTTTCTCTTCCAGATAACAACACTATCTCAGAGCTCAGTTCCCTCCACGATGAAAATGGCAGCTTCCGCCAACCTTACCGGCAGGTGCGCAGGAAGCCGCTTCCTCCTTCAGGGGACATGGATGGTGATGCAGAGTATTGGGCTGGAGTTGTCAGTGGTGGTGGCATGTCCAGGCCACAGACATGTTCTGATTATAGAGAAGAAAGAGGCAGTTTCAAGTTCAGGTGAGTGAAATGCTTTGGAGGTAAAGTGGTGGAACAAGAAAGATGAGTGTCTTTCCAACACTTTTGCTTTCTTGGTGAGGAAGAGATTAAGAGGCTGAAAAAGCGTTTATTTTGTGTAAATCTCTTAGGTAATTCAGATCGTGGTCAGCAGTGGTTTCCCTTGTTTATCAGGACTGGTTTTTCAAGCAGTTCAAAAACCAGACATGGTTGTGTTGGGCTACCCTTATATGCCACTTGTTATGTGCCATCAAGTCAGAATTGACTTACAGTATTTTGACCCTTATAGGGCTTACAAGGTAAATTGGATATTTAAGGAGTAGCTTTACCAGTTCCACTCCCCCAGTGAGTTTCCTTGGCTGAGCAGGGATTTGAACTCAGGACTCCTGAGTTTACTGTAGCAACTACACCACACTGGGTATGGTATACACACTGCACATTTCAATATTAAAGTAAGTTAAATTGTTGGTACCTTTCTTGTACAATAGAAGAACTGAAGTTAAGTGGCTGTGTTTTACCAGAGGGATAGATAGCCCTCTGGGATTTTATATATGCTTCACTTTTGAACTTTTGTTTGGCTACTATGCATATCAAGCAGCAGCAAACTAGCATATCCCATCTACACACAGCAAGAATCTATTTTTTGGTCCTTGATGATGTGCTTACCTGTATTTACAGTACTGGGACAAACATAATATTGTCATCACAGCCTTTATTGCTGAGAAGAGAAAGAAATAAACACAAACTTCAATTTCTGTTTAGGAAACCACACCACTCTGGCCTCTGGATGGTGTGAATCAGATGCTGCTTTTCTTTTATCAAGTTAGTTTCTGTTGTTATTACAAAGATATGGAATGGAATGTTTCCACACTATATACAATGGTGCCCTGCAAAACGGTTTATTCGCTAGACGATGAGTTTTTGGGATCGCTATAGCACTTTGCAAAACGGTGTTTCCTATGGGCGATTTTTGCTGGATGATGTTTCAGTCCGTGCTTTGCAAGACGATATTTTTTTCGGGACCGTTTTTCGCAGGACTATGATTTTGACAGCTGATCTGCACTTTGCAAAACAGTTTTCCTATGGGCGATTTTTGCAAAACGACAACAATTTTTCCCCATTGGAACACATTAAATGGATTTCAGTGCATTCCAGTGGGGAACTGCGTTTTGCAAGGTGATGTTTTTGCAAAACACCGATTTTCGCGGAATGAATTAACATCGTCTTGCGGGGCACCACTGTACAGTATGCATTCTCGAAGGCTTTCATGGCCAGGATCTGATGGTTGTTGTAGGTTTTGCGGGCTGTTTGGCCATGTTCTGGAAGTTTTTCTTCCTAACATTTCGCCAGTCTCTGTGGCCAGTATCTTCAGAGGACAGGAGTTAGAACTCTGTCTGTGTTCTGATGTAGTGTAAGAGATAGTCTGGCCACAGAGACTGATGATGCCAGCCACGGAGACTGGTGAACCATTAGTAATAAAAACCTCTAGAACATGTCCAAACAGCCCAAAAAACCTACAACAACTGTATACAGTATGTCTGCATTTATCAACTGTTGGTAGGGGCTGTTGTATTGCAGTTAGTCACAGTAGACTGACTAAATGGAGAATATGAATGCCTGTAAGTTACTGTTTTAAGCCAGGGGTCTCAAACATGCAGCCCAGGGGCCATTTGTGGCCCACCGAACAATAGTTTGCGGCCCCCGCCTTGCCTGCCCCCCCCCGAAATGCACATGCATCCTCTGCTGTCAAGAGTCAAACAAAGCCCCCTCGCTTTGCTCGCCGGTTGTCTCCCAAGACTGTACCTCTTGCATCCTCCATCCAGAATTGCAGCCTGCCAGCCAGCCCACCTTTCTGCGCTGCTGGCCCTTTTCCCCGAGCCACCGCCGAGCGATGCCTGAGAGCGGATCTCGCTCCTGGCCCGTCCTCAAAGAGCGCCTCCAAGCCACCAACAGCAGCTGCCACTGCCTCTTCGACAGAAGCAGCTTTCTGGCTCTCCTTCTCTCTCGGCACCCCCAGCACCAGCCCAGCCAGCAGCCGCCTCCGTGCCTGGTGGTGCTTCCTCCCCCCTGCTAGGCAGTCACCAGCGCTCCATCCCTTCTCTGCTTCTTCATCCTGCTGGTGGTAGTGGTGAAGCCGGAGGGGGTCGTGGCTGGCGATGAGGGCTCATGCGCCCCTCCTCCTCCTCCTTGGAACCCCAGCCAGGCTAAGGAAACTCCTGGGCAGCTTCCTTGGGCTCTTCCTCCGCTTGGCGGAAAATCTAATGCGGCTCAGCCTCACCCAGACTCTGCCTCCAGGTAAATCAAGTTTGAGACCCCTGTTTTAAGCCAAACATTGATAAATTCTAGTACTCAAATATAAGACACAATATGTGCTTACTAAGGGAAAATGTGTGTTATTGAGTGATTGAATAAGTCAGATAGTGTTGCCTAAAGCATCCAGTTCTTCTCCTGTAAAACCTACATCCCAATTAATAAACACATTTCCCTAATTTCAGTCATTATGCTCTTAGATAGAGGGCTGTCCAATATCAGCTCAATAGAACTACGGCTGTTTTACGATTTGTATTATGGTCAGTATATGACACAGTAGCCTTTGGATCACCCTTGCTGTTTTAGACCATTTGGAGAAGTCTGAGATGCAGGGAAAACTTCTATGTTTTGTGTGCAAAAGGCTTCAGGTTACATCCCCAGACTCTCCAAAGATGATAAAAGAGTTTCCTGAGGCCTTGAAGAGCCACTGTCATTCAGAATAGACTATATCAAATGAATACCCTATACCGGATATTTTTTTCCTGAATTCTAGAACTGGGACCGTCAGTCTGTAGAGTTGTAGACAGTATGGGCTATGTGCCAAATTGGAAGAATGCTGGACAAGTATTTCACAAGTTCTTATTTCTGTTTTTAAAAAAGCCTTCCCACCCACACCTATGATCTTTTTTTTGCTACCAATTTTCATGGCTCATAGTGAATTTGGTAGTTATTTTTCAAATGTTTGCCACTACTTTCTGAAAAGGAAGGGATTCCTGCTATGTGCTTCTTAAAAATGTGAAGTTGATCCATCCTATTTTGTTTAGGAGAAAGGAAACCTTAAAGATGTTTGTTCCAGCTGCATGTGATCACTGTGCCATTTCCCAGTATCTCTTCCCAGTACTGTAGGAAACTAGTGTGTCTCACTGAGTTTAATTTGACTTTTTTCTGGGCTAGAAGGTAGATTGGGACTTCAGCAATGTTCCCTCTAATTTTCAGCTAGCATGCACACTGGATTCTCACTGCAACCAAAAGCAAAAGCAACTCTGGCTTAGCTGCGCAGCCCCAATCAGGAACTGCACAGCTTAGAGGGAAGTTCAGGCTTACCATAGGAATAAGTGTCTTTGAACAAATAAACACACACAAAAAAGACCCACAGAGGAGAATGAGAGAGGTGAGCCAAAGCTACAAAGGGGGCAGGGGCTGTACAGAGGAGAGTAAGAGAGAGCAAGTGGGAGCCACAGAGAGAAAAAGAGAGGCTCCATGGATAGAAGAGAAGAGGACCCAGAGAGAGAGAAAAAGGAGCCACAGGTATGGGAAGGAGGGATAATGGTAAGAGGGAGTGGATTTGGGGTAGGGAAGAGAGAGTGGAGTTATGGGTTGTGGGAGAAGGGGCATGAAGAGACAGAGAAACCACACACACAGAGAGGGGGGGGGAGTTCATTACTTAACAACCATGAAAACTGCTTTGTGTTTCAGTCAGATGTGGTTCACTGATTTTAAAAAAGAGTCAGGTTCTGGTATTTTCTGTCACTTCATTTCGCTTTGTGAATAATAGTGAGCACAAGAGGGGATCCAGTAGATCACTGCTGACATTGGAGTTGTCAACTTTCAGGCTGGTCTTTGCCATGTAAAGCTTGGCAATGCAGGCATGATATTGCAATGCAATATCAGAACATCTCCTTGTGTTTTGAAAAGTGGACACAGCAGCAATATCCCACATTCATATATCAGAGGTTGTTTTTTTTTTTAAAGATTAAATATATCATTCAGGTGCTTGCCTAGAGACTGTTGCAGGACGTTCTTGCTTTTAAACAAAAATATAAATCTTTCCTTTTCTCTCTCCTACAGCCAGCAGAGATCAAAGTCAGAAATGCTTTCAAGGAAGAGTTTCTCATTAGGGATGCCAGCTGTCTCTATGGATGAACTTGCAGCCTTTGCAGAGTCCTATAGTCAACATGCTCGTCACACGGGAGGGAGACAGGAATCCAGACGTTTTGAGAGATCAGGGTCACGAGGAACCCATGGAGGGTCTGTACAGCACCCAGGCGACTCAGATAATTACTACAGCAAACGTAGAGGAGGAAACCGTGAGCCATTGACAGATTCAGGTCAAGGTTGGGCATATAGCCCATCCAGAAGACATACCCAGGAAGAGAAACACTTACCTAGACTAGTGTGTCGAACACCTGGAGGGAGTCAGAAACATGATCACTCCTACCTCACTAGTGCTCTAGAGAGGAAATCGCGAAGCTATGATGAGGGTGGTGAACACAATGAGACACCTTCGAAACTTAGCTCACAATCTAGTCAAAGAGGAGGAACATACTATGCTTGGTCGCCACCATCTACTTACCAAAGGGGACAGCAGCAGCCGCAGCAACAGCAGCAACCTCCACAACAAGAGGAAGGAGAGGACACTCTGCCACCCTACAGCGAGATGGAACTGAACCGGGGCTCTTCATACAGAAGCAGAGAACAATCTAACCTCAGTGCCTCTGATAAGAAGAGGAAAAAAGAGCCCAAGAAGACAGTAAGGACGTGTTTGACTCTCCTAATCCATATGAGTTTTACAGGGGTTGTCAGACAGGGTGTCTGGGTTGCCTGCCTCTTAGTAAACATTTTGTACTCTAGTTTTGATATGCATGCAACAACTGTAAGCATTTTGCAGGGTAAGCTGAAATGCATATGGAACTGCTTACAGAAATTTTTGTTTAGCTTTTGGAGAAAAAGCTACAGTGGTACCTCGCTAGACAATGACCTCATAAAATGACGAATCAGCATGACGATGAGGTTTTGCGATCGCTATAGCGATTTGCAAAACAGTCATTCCAATGGGGGATTTTTGCTGGACGATGATTTGGTCCGTGCTTCGCGGACTGTTTGTTTGCAAGACGACGATTTTTATAGCTGATTGGTGGCTCTGCAAAATGGCTTCCCTGTGTTTTCGGGACCCATGCTTCGCAGGACAGCCAATATAACAGCTGATCGGCGCTTGCAAAATGGCTTCCCTATGAGTGATCTTCGCAGGACGACAAGGTATTTTCCTCATTAGAACGCATTAAACGGGTTTCAATGCATTCCAATGGGAAAACAGATTTCACATGACGATAATTTTGCTAAACAGCGATTTCTATGGAACATTATCATCGTCATGCGGGACACCATTGTATATTCTTTCATACAGAAGGGACATTTAAAGCATAATATTACAGGTTTTTTTTAAAAAAATTCATTTATTTTCAATGTTTTCTCTAGTGAGCTGAAGGCAGTATACATTGCTGTTCTTCCCCAATCCATCTTTGAAGCAACCCTGTGAGACAGGTCAAGATTAGAGAGATTGCCTGGCCCAAAGTCACCTACTGAGTTTCATGGCTGCGTGGGAACTGGAATGTGCATTTTCCAAGACTCATCCTATCACTAACAAGTATAAACAAAAGTGCCCCAAGTTAGTAATGGATAAATAAGAAGGCAGCAATATAATCTGAATTTAACAAAATCCAAGCCGAATTTCCTTAATTAGCGGCAAGAAGCCATTGTAAGTTACGCTGTTTGCTTTGCACAAGTAACTATGAGACAAAATTTTGTCCCTTAAGTACATTATTTGAAATATATCTGTCATAGTACAAGCTGTCTTGCAAATTAACTTGTCTTTTTTGGTGATTGGTTACCCAAAGGTAAGCACAGGATTTACTAGTTTGATCTGCTAGTTTGCTAGTTTGATTTCTCAGGTGTGAAGCTCTTGTGGCATGTGAACTGTGCATTGTCTTCATAAGCTTTCTAAAATGCTTAATAGAACACATGACATTCTGTTGCTGGAATCCAGTAGTCAGTCATAAGTAGAGTAGGTTCATTGAATCAATGGGGCTTTGGTGAGTCTGTAAATTCCATTAATTCAGTTTGGTTAGTCTAGTTGTAACTTACTACTGGATTTCATCCTGAGGCTTAGTACCAGCTCATATTCTTGCAATTGTGGTAGGATTTGTTAGTTTTTGTGTAGGCTGTCTGATAATCCTGTCTTCCAGGTAGTTAATAGGGACATTTCAGCTGTTTTTCTATAGAAAGACTTCTGAAGGGTATTGAATTGTGAATTGTAAAACGGCAGTCCTTGTGCTTGATGAGTACCTCAAATGAACAGTTATCATGGGCAGATATTGTACCTTGAATAAAGCCAAGGTGTCTCCAGACAGATTTTCAGAAGGTTTATATGAACTGATCCTTAATGTTGTGGTTGTGGGATTAGTGGAAAGACAGGTAAAAGAGAAAGACAGGACAAATGCAACTGTTCAGGTTAGTTAGCTGTTTGATCTGAAATAGATTCCTTAATACCCTCTTAGCCTGACAACACTAGCAGGTGTGAAATGTCCACTTCTATTATATTCCAAGTTGACTCTATGTCTCATTTTCATGTTAAGGCTTATGCAGCTTAATGTTTCACAATTTCTTTTTTTACTCTCTGTTTTTCTCAGAATGAGTTCCCAACAAGGATGTCCCTTGTGGTGTGATGGAGGAAGAGTTACATTAGTGGATTTGGAAAACAGAAGCAGTTGTAGTTCAAAGCCATACAGGCATCAAGGAATGTTTTGTTTTGTTTCATCGTGGACTCAAAGTCTTATGAGATGGCTCATTCAAACCAATTGCTGTCATCCTATTAACTCCTTGAAAAGGAGCACCTCACTGAGCCAAAAAGTAAACACAGAGATTTTGTTTCTCAAACTCACCCTCTGATTTTTCTATTTATCTTGGGTCTTATCTGCAACAGGGAGCTGCTTTCATATATCATATGTATTCTCTCTCCTGTATGATATACTTCTTACCTATGATGCTTTGCAGGGAAAGTTGCCACAGGTTTTGAGGACCTCGCAATTTGCTCATTACATCTCGTTCTGAGAAGAATAAGATATTTACACTTAACAATTACTTCAGAATGAGTGAAATTTTCAAGGAAACTTGTACTGTAAAAGGAAATCTTAATCCTTTTGTAAATGATTCAAAGCTGAGACTTGGGGCACTGCACTAAGAAGGACAGGGTAGTGTTTAATGACTCTTAGAATTCTTGGGTTCTTGAAAAATGTCCTCATTCGGTATCATATCAGGAGCCACCAATGAGATTATTTTGTTTTGAAAGTGAAACACAGTGGATTTTGCTGTAATGAAAACGTGCCGTGTTATTTCACTGTTGTCTGATATGATGATGTATTAGCATTGCCTTACAGTTGAACTATAGCCATAAAAGTTTCAGCTGTGACTGCTGATTGGTTGTAACCAGAGCTTCAAGCTAAGGCTCTTCTGACAGTATTTTCTGGACAATGATTATTTTTTAAAAGCCAAATAATAGAAATTAAGAGAACTAGAATGAGAAAATATGTGTGCAAAAGTTGCACATCCTCTTACTTTTATATTTCTACAAAGACCAGTATTAGTTCTTTCTTGTAATTGGTTGAAGCCATTTAATGAGGCAGCAAAAATGTGCAAAATAAATATGTTGGATAAAATATCATCTCTGAAAGTTAATTCATTGCAAATCTTTTGGTTCTTGTTTTGAAACACTAGCAGCCTAAGTATCTGTGACAAAGGGTAAAGAGTCTGCATTGTACAGCATTCTCAAGACAATAGGATTAACAGCCATGAAGAATAATTTTGTTTGGTTGCAACATTTTTCCACTTTGCTTGGGATCATAACATAAACCTGATGCATGGGCTTATCACAAGTCTGAGAGCTAACTGCATGGTTTGGATTTCTATGGTGAAATTTAAATCTTCTAATAGGCATTTACTTATCAAGGTCATAACACTCTTTAGTGTATGAAAGCATTTAACCATTTACTAGTTGTAAAAAGTAGCTAAATAATCTAATGATTTAAAAGTGTTCACTTGTTATGCACCAAAGGTCTTTTAAGATGTGCTAGTAACAATCTAGTTTCCTTTATATAGGCACAAAATTTTCCTATTTAAAAAAGTTACAGTCCATTCACAGATGAAAGAGGGTGTATGCTTCCTCATTGAGTTTAGAAGGCCACTGGGCATATCCCGAAGTCCTTTTAGCAGCTGTTCTTTTTTTTTGTGATTGCATGGCTGTATCCTGTTCACCATAAATTGCACAACCTTAGTGAAATGGTGAGTGCATCCAGGTTCATATTATTCAGCAGTAACATGGCCTGGAGAGAGTGAAAAGAGTGTATGTTATTTTAAGGTGATCTCACAGTTTGATATAAGTCTTCTCTATGCTAGCAATGCTATTATACATTGAACCTTTGTGTTGGACATACGTCTCATTCTCTGTAGTAGAACAAAAGGTGGTCTTCAGGTATTCAGATATTCGGTCGGATATAAGTCAGATATTCAGTTAACATCCAGAGAAAAGAGCAGTCCAAATCCAGTCTTCATTCTTAAAAACAGTAAATCCACTGAAGCAATAGGAACTTTTCAAGCCAAAATTTATGTAAATTGCATAGATTCAGTAGATCTGCTCTAGTTGGAACTAAAATTTGGATTTAGACATGGAGTACAATCTTTGTAAAGCACTCCAGTGGGCAATTACACCTTGCTATTCTGTGGTTTTATCTTATTTTAGTGAAACATTGATATTATTTAGGATTTTTCTAGAGAGGAAATAGCTATCACATCTTCATCTGTAGGGTCTGGTTCTCTCCAGACTGAGATGGACTTATCTGGTCATAAATGTCTTGTTCTTCCAGCATTTTAAGGGGGGAGAGCCTCCCCCCCTTAAAAATAACATTTCACTTCTCAAGAAGAGATTATCTCAGAGGTTCCAGTTGATACTTATAAAAATATTATTTCACAATTGAGAAGAATATCTGGTGTGGAGGTGGGGAGTCTACAGACCAGAGTTGCCTTCAACAACAGTAAGACAGCTCCAGCTCTGGAAAGCTGTTACTGATTCTCAACTGAAACTATTCTGAAGGTGATGGGTGAGTCAGGCCCAGTGTTAGTCACTTCTAATGCACTATTCCTTGAGTGTGTTGAATGTATTAAAGCAGCAATGTTAATTCAATGTCATATACATTGTTTAGCACATCTGAATTAAAATCTTGACTTGTAAGAGCTAAGTGCTCAACTGTCTGGGCCTGGCTGGATAAATCTATCACCTCTTATTTCTTCTGCATTTGATATTTTAAAATATTGAGTTATTTTTATGGAATTTACCAAAAAAAGAAGTAGATTTGGGAAGTCGTTAAGGAGAATACTCCCCATCTCTGAATTACACATTTTTTTGGAGTAAAATGTTGAAATAACAGCACCATCTTGTGGACATCGGTCATTGGGTACACTCTTTCTAATAGTATTTAAAGTCCTATTTTATGGCAGGCTTATGTCTTCAAAGTAGTAGCTATGTTAGCCTGTGCAACCATAACCAAGCAAAAATAAAACCAAAAAGCAGAAATAAAAAGTTAAAAACGTTGTGGCACTTTAAAGACTGCTGTGTTGCCTGCAATGTGAGCTTTTGAGGTTTTATCCACTTCTTCAGACACATTTGTCTAGTCGTTTAGTCGTGTCCGACTCTTCGTGACCCCATGGACCAGAGCACGCCAGGCCTTTCTATCTTCCACTGCCTCCCGTAGTTGTGTCAAATTCATCTTGGTTGCTTCGATGACACTGTCTAACCATCTCATCCTCTGTCGTCCCCTTCTCCTCTTGCCGTCACACTTTCCCAACATCAAGGTCTTTTCCAAGGAGTCTTCTCTTCTCATGAGATAGCCAAAGTACTGGAGCCTCAGCTTCAGGATCTGTCCTTCCAGTGAGCACTCTGGTTTGATTTCTTTTAGAATTGATAGGTTTGTTCTCCTTGCAGTCCAGGGGACTCTCAAGAGCCTCCTCCAACACCACAATTCAAAGACATCAATTCAGACACATTAGAGTGAAGCAAAATCATAGGTTATATACAAAGTAGGCACAGGAAGGAGATTAACAAGGTGACAATAGCACTATTGGCCCAAATAATAATAGTAAGAATGCTGGTTTCAACAGATAGTCCCACACTTCCTATGAAGTGTGAAATAGCAGGAGGCTCAATCATGAGTCATGTCTTAGAGAGCCCATTACCCTGCACAATGAAGCAGGAATTAATTACCAGAGTCTATTGTCTGTCTATCTATCCCAACACACACACACACACACTCACACACACACACACTCTGAGCTAAACAATCCCTGTCTATATTTAGTTTAAGTTATTTATTCCTTTGGAAATGTTCTGAATTTTATGTATATATCTTACCTGTCTCTCTACACTACTCACATGCAAATCACACTGTTGTATATCACACTCCACTTGTACACCCTGTATTTTTAAAATCTAAAAAAACAAGCCTTGGAAATGGCCACTGAAATGAATCAATTCTGAATCAACCTTAATTGTGGTAAATGTTTATTTGAATCCACTTTCTGTTATATTTGCACTCTTGTCTAATCACCTGTTAAAATATGCTTGTTAATCCCTTCTCTCTGTTCAAGTTGCTGAATTGGTTTAGCTAAAATCCATCAACTCGTCAGAGTCTGTACGTATATTGTTTGTTTGTTTGTTTGTTTAGTATACAACCCCCCCTCCCCTATTAGTGCAAAGCACTATTCTGGGCAGTTTACAACATGCTGAATAAAATGCTACAAAACAATAAGTTAATAACTAAAACCGATCAGACAAATAAAATATTAGAAAAGTTCAGTATCAGAAGCTGAGGACAATGAGGGGAATAGGCTTTAAAAGGAGAGTAGACTAATTCATGGAGGATAAGGCTATCAATGGCTAATAGTCAGTGACAATACAGCATATTACCTTCAATATCAAACAGTGTGGTAGCGGGAATGTAAGAAGATGGTGCTATCATGCTCATATCTTGGTTGTCAACTTCCCATAGGTATCTGACTGTTCTAACAACAGAATGGTGGGCTTTTGGTTTGATTTAATATGGGTCTACTTATTTTCTTATTTCCATTTCCGCTTTTTATCACATGCTCTTTTATTGTATGCTCTTTTATGTGCTTTTTATTTTATGCAAGCTATCTGTAGGGTTTCCTGTGATATTCTGAATTGTCATATGAACACAATAAAGATATACTAGTAAGTAGTAGTAGTTAACAAGACTTTTAAAAGAAACTGGAAACTGAGGACTCTATTCAGTGACGGATTACTAAACTAAGACTATGTATATATTGCAGATGGAAGATTTTTTTGTAAAACAACAACATTCTATTTTCCTTAGAAAAAAAACTATTAAGTGTTAAACTGTAAAATGACCTTTTCCATCAGGGAACCAGCTGCCTCCATCCTCCTTTTAGCTGCTCTGTGAATTCTATTTTTGCTCTAGTATGCAATTATCTTAAAGGGTTTTCTTTATTCTGTAGTTTTGCTCTGCATCTCATTTGTCCATTTTAATTGCAGAAGGGCGTGGATACATTTACCAATAACTTGCTTCACGATTGTTTGTTACAGTGACTAAGACAGCCTGTTTTGAAGAACCTATTCTCCCACCCATCACTATTTTGAAAATTATTCAAAGCCTGGAAAAAAGAATTTAAAATCAAGATGAAATAGTATTTTATCATGTCTAGCAATGTATTGGAACCTCTCTTAATGTAAGGGGATCTTTAAAAGTGCAGTGTTCCTGTGTACTGTACTTAGAATAGTTGAGTACACAGCATAATGCATTCTGAAGCAATTTCTAGTTTTACTATCCTGTCAGTAGTGTGTGTATTTTTCAAGGTAAGTTCCTTTTTGCTATAATATTAAAGAATTATATCCAGGTAACTCTAGGTCATGGAAATCTGTAACTTATCTATCTATCTATCTATCTATCTATCTATCTATCTATCTATCTATCTATCTATCTATCTATCTATCTATCTATCTGTCTGTCTGTCTGTCTGTCTGTCTGTCTGTCTGTCTGTCTGTCTGTCTGTCTGTCTGTCTGTCTGTCTGTCTGTCTGTCTGTCTGTCTGTAGAATTAGTTCAGTAGTGGATGTTATTGATGACATCCACAGTGCTGAGCTTCAGGGCAATACAGAGTTTCATTATAGAGTGGATTCAAGAGCATTAGTGTCAGTTATTTCCGGATTGAAACTTACTTGAGGTGATAATGGAGAATTATAATTAAACCTCCAGTAGCTTACTTAATACACAACATTTCTGGTTATGGTCGAAAATGCTTATGCAGTACTTCATTAAAGTGAAATATATTTGGCTACCCAGAATTATACACAGTATAGCAGAAATATAGCATGTACACAAATAACAGTAAGAAAGTGCAGTCAACATTGGTGTGAGATTATCTTTTGCCTAGCATTTTTGTTTCTTGATCCACAAATTTCTTAAATTAGCTGTTGCATATTTTTGTCAAAACCTATGATTGAAGTTCACAAGTCTGTTGATCCTGGAGGAGCTTGTACCAATGACTGATGAATGTCAGAACTGGCTGTAAAGTTTCTACTAGATAAGAAGAGTATCAAAATATATTCATTGCTTGGAAGACCAATGAATTGATTATATTGACCAAGGCCTCCTTGTGTAAAATCCAAAGAAGTGAGGCAACAAGAAATGATGAACTATGTGTTCCTTGTTCCCATTCTAAAGTAACTACACACTAACTATAGAGTTTAGAAGTACTTGCTTTTACCATTCCCTGTGAGGAAAAGAATCATTAATACAAGTTTTTCTATCATGTTTTTGCTTTCATTATATTTTCAGTCAATGGTGATGACATGCATGGAAAAGAGACTCTCGGTAAATTTGTTCCTTTCCCACAGAAGAGTCAATACTCTGCTGATACCAGGTGGAAAAGAGACAGTGTTACTAAAGGTATTCGTGTATATGCCACTGTATTTAACTATATATTTGGATATTTATCTGTTTGTCCATTGTCAATGTACTCTCCACTTTCGTTAGACTGGGGTCGGAATTGTTTTCTGTGGGAGGACAGTTTGTGGAGGCCCCAATATGTGGAGATTCCTGAATTTGGTATAATGGCCATAGGGCCATTTTTGACTCATTGATTTTTCTTGTAAATTTTATATAATATAATATTGCAAACTATTATTAAGAATAAAATGGCAGCTGAGCCCACTGTAGGAATGGGTGTTGGCTACAGAGAGTAACCATTTTTTTTACCACAGCACTGACATCACATGAATAGCTGACTATCTGTAGTATCTAGCTAGCCACTTGGTGAAGAAATTTGACTACGTCTCTTGTTTCTACATCTGGTTCACTGGGCTCAGAAGGCCATGATCAGCTATCTTCATGACATGACCCTTCAGACAACCAACTTCTCATATAGTTTCACATAATTGTTTTAATAAATCTTCAACAAATTGTTGTCTAACCAATCAATATTAGGGTTTTTTCAGGTGATAATAATTGGGGTGAATTAACTTTGTATCAAGGTGTCTTTCTTCCAAATCAAGTAATGAACATTGACTGTAAGGCACCTTGTTTCTGTTTTTTAAGGGAGTTAATTAATAATATCATCATCATTATAGATACATAATTATGTTCCCCATATCAGTGGTAGCCCATCTGAAACAGCATCAGATGCCAGTGGGATTTCCACATGTTCTAGGAGTGATCATATAACAAAATAACATCCAGATAGTGTGGAAAAACCTGCCAAGCAGGCTGAATATGCCACTGAACACTGACTGTGTGGAACAAGCAGTAAGTCACACCTAGAGTAAGCCAACTGAATCAGTGGAACTTATGGAGGAATTGACTCACAAATTCCCCATTTGTGGGGGAATCAATGGGCCTATTCTAATTGTGATTTACTACTGGATATCAGCCAGGGTGTAGTGTTGGATTTATCAGGGCTCTCTACAGTAATTTTACATAATCCATTTTGAGATTCATCTTTGAAACAGATTTTAATTTCCTGAAATACTAGTGCACATGAAATGTTATACTTCATATTATTCTCATACATCATACATATAATATACTATTATATTAATGTTTAATTGATGCCTTTTCTTTTAATGTTCACAATCCAAACTAGATAATCATCTCATCAATGGAACTGTCGGTGATTGTATGCTCCTTGACCCTAATAGCCAGAAACCAGCAGTCAATGTGCATTACTTGATTTGGAAGAAAGGCAGCTTCTTAGGGAAGATGAAAGGTCCAAATGTAACGCCCTGCAAAACTGACAACAAAAGATGTACAGTATTATTGCTAGTAATGGCAGCTTGAGTTTGTGCCCAGCATGGCTGGAGGATAGTGGGCAGTACGTGGTAGAAGCTTATACCAAGGATGGAATACAGGAATACACTCACAGATTTCAAGTAGTGCTTGCTCGTAAGTAGCAGATCGGTGATTTCTTCCCTTGGAATTATTGCCATAAATTAATCACCAAGCATTCATGGTGTTCATTGCCAAAAGACACAGAAGAATGATACCAGAATTTTTAATAATTGTTGCTATTTTAAGTGTGTCCCATATGGGCTGGCAATATGGGTTTACTGATTTATGCACAAATACATAAATGCATATGTAATATAAATATATATTTTCATGAATAAATTAACAAATCTTACTATTAAGTTTGACAAAGAATGGTGTGAGAAAGTTTGGCCTCCTTATTGAAAGGCTTTTGGGAACAAATTATTAAGGACAAAGAAAAGGGGTGAACTACTCATATTGAGTAAGAGCTGATTAATATATTGGGGATTTATTAATGTATGGCAATGCTGAAATCAGCTTTCTAACACTTGAATCTGTTGCATTAAGTTTCTTAAAATATTTTGAAACTTTGTGTGACAGAAATCAATATGATTGTCACTGTTTGAATAATGATGCTTGTCATGATGAGCATATTTTCAACCAGATTTCATGGCTCAAATCTGAAATGCAGTCTTCATGTGAGAAACTCAAATATATTGATTTTGGTGTTAGTATTCTTGAAGCCCATTTTAAATCTATTTAATAAGTTAGTTTGGATCCAAGCTTGATCACACTTAGGGTAAATGTGCTTAAAATAAGTGGGATTTCTAACAGTGACTGAATCTGAATCCAACCCATACATTTTAGGCATTAACTGTCTGCTCTGCTTATTTTTTTTAAATCTGCATCTAGAACCCAAATTAAGGAGTAATCTCATCAATGGAACGCCTGGTAATTGTGTGCTATTTGATCTGGACAGCAGAAAACCAGCAATCCGCATTAGTAATGTAACTTGGAGAAAAGACCATATCTTAATGGGGAAGATGAAAGGTGGCAATGTAACCGCCTGTGAAATCTACAGCAAAAGATGTCTTATCTTTATCAATGGCAGCTTGAGTTTGTGTCCCATGTGGCTGGAAGATTCTGGGCAGTATTTTGTAGAAGTATTTACGGATGATGGAAAACAGCTGTACAATCAATCAATTCATCTGGTTCTTACTGGTATGTGTTGTAGGCTATCCTCATTAGATAAGCACCAGAGGTCACCAGCTTTCACTCTGATGCATTTTGTTCAAAGAATATCAGAGAACAAGTAGGAGAACATTGTTGCTATCCAGTTAGTACAGAAGACTGTGCTGAATTAGGTTAATGCTCACCTGGCTTCCTATGAATTATTCTCAGAATGCTAAGGACTTTGTGGATGTTAATTGTTTCTCATGAAACTTAATTTCGCATTGGTAGACTTGTTGCAGGAATCTTGGTACATAGTCCTCAATACAAGAATGCATTCTGTATGATTTTTCAGGCAATATTCAATACTTTTATATATTATCAAGTAATGAGCTTGACTGAGTTAGTGTAACTTTTTTTATAGTTAACTGATGGAAATGTTTGAAGCAAAGTGGTTAACTGAAATAATTTAATCAATTGACAAGCTCATTAATATTTGATACAGTGATGTGTGCTATTTAAAGTGGGTACAGAGTTCTTTGCAAAATGTTGTGTCAACAGTAATATAAAATAGTTGATTATATCCATTTGCATTCTAATTTTTGAATTGGAGTTAAAGCGAAAGCCAAAGAAGACAATACATTTCATCTTAACAGGAGTTTATGTGGCACTGTTTCTTGTTGTAATGGTTTCCTCTGTACATCATTTTGGAAAATGGAAAAAGAAGATAGGGGTTTTTTTCTTTTTAGTCATCATTATGGGGGGAGATATACTTAAAACATACAATTGTTAGTTGAACATTAGCACGTCTTCCTTTCCCTTTACAATACCATTTTTGCTTTTTTGATACATGCAGCTGTTTTTGACACATGCATATCTTGTTCAATGCATGTGCAGGCTGCAGATCAATACAATATAGATGTGTAGCTGATTTATTTTCTTCCAGAATGCAAAAAAATAAATAGGATCCGCATTCTTTATCTATCTCACGTATTCACTGCAGTGGGCAAAACATGCCATTTTGATGACGATATGGGTCTGCTGATAGACAATATGAGCAGGTCATCAAGTTATGAGGTTAAGGGAAGATGGTTTCAGCTATAACAGACAGTGGGGAGATGAGTAACACATCAGTATCTTGTTCAAGAGAAAGAAAAATAAAGTGATAGAAATTCTACAGATTTACAAACAATACTATATCAGACATTTGTGCAGAAATATTGGGAGTTAGTGAGGCTGGATTAGAAGTGCTTACCTCATCAGTAGAGAATGCTAAAGAAGAAACTTCTTGTTTTTTTTTACATGGATTAAATTCTCTGGGAAACAGGAAGGCTGCACAATGAAAATCTGAGAAGGTACCATGTGGACTATGCAACAGTAAACAATAGGAAACAAGACCAATGTGAGCATTGCAACAATGGTGTTGTAGGTTTTTCGGGCTCTCTGGCTTTGTTCTTGAGGTTTTTCTTCCTCTGTGGCTGGCATCTTCAGAGGACAGTGATCTGGTGCAGTTTGTGGGATAGTTGAGTACTTATAGCAGTGGGATCAGCTTTTTGTCCTGTTTAGGAGATTGGGTAATTGGCTGAGCACCGAACTCAACCATCTGAATTGGGACCTACAGGCAAATGGTTATACCAAGAATGCAAGCACAAAAGCCATCAAACCAAGAAAACAACATCAAACTGAAGAGGAAAAACAGCCACCCACAAATAAAGTATTTCTTCCATACATCAAAGGGGTCACGGACCACATGGGGAAACTTTTGAAAACACACAACCTACAAACAGTATTCAGGCCCACCATAAAAATACAATAAATGTTACGGTCAGTAAAGGACAAAAGGGACCCCCTCACCACTGCAAGAGTATACTGGATACCTTGCAGTTATGGCCAGGTATATATTGGAACCACAAAATGCAGTATCTACACCAGAATCAAAGAGCATGAGACACTGCGAACTAAAACAACTGGAAAAATCAGCAGTAGCTGAAAATGCCCTGAAATGAGCTGGACATGAAATTCTATTTCATAATACTGAAGTACTGGACAACACCAGCAATCATGTTAGACTTCAGAGGGAAGCCATTGAAATTCACAAACACCAGCAGCGCTTCAACAAAAAAGAAGAAAGTCTAAAACTCAACAAAGCCTGTCTCCCAGAACTGAAAAACAGCCTGCAAAAGGTCAATGAACTCTACTCAGCCAAAAGAACCAGTGATCACTGCACACAAAAGATCAGCTAACAACACCCATCAATCATAGTGAGAGATCATCTCTCCCCCTTATCACAACAATACACCCACAACAACAACAACAACAACAAAACACGCTGATCACCATAATCAACCAATCTCCTGAAAAGACAAAAACCTAATAACACAGCTATAAATACTCAAATTTCCCTCAAACTGCACCAGGAAGATGCCGGCCACAGAGACTGGCAAAACGTTAGGAAGAAAAACCTCAAGAACACAGCCAGACAGCCCGAAAAACCTACAGCAGCCATGGGATCCCGGCCATGAAAACCTTTGAGAATACATATTCCAACAATCCCAGCCCTGACTTTAGTGCCTCCTATTTTACAATGTTAAGTTTTTTTTACCTTGGCTTTAACTGAAAATTGAGAGCAGTGGAGACTGAATGAAGAACATTAGTGTCTCTTCTCTGTAGTGCTGCAGACAATCTGTTCTAAAATATCAGAGCAGTGGAGTGTGCCACTCGTTTGGAACGTTTATAAAGTCTAGAGTTCCCATAATGTTATCATCATATTTTGTATTCCATTGCCCTCTAGGTCTGATATGGAGATCTAACTGCTTCCCTTCCAGGGTTTTTTGACATTGGGGGGGGGGGGGACAGCCAAAATATCAACCATGTTACATTTGTGGCCAGAATGGTCCTGGAACCCAGCCAGATATCAGGAGTGCTAAGTCCACTGACTCTCTGTATGGTATTGGAGATATCATGGAAGTTACTGTTTAGTTTTGGAGATGCATCCCACAACACATTGGAAGAAGAGTCATGTGATAGTGTGAAATTGGAAAATTACCACAGTCTTTGCTTGACTTTTGACCTAAATAGCCATAAGGTCATAAGGGTGAAACAGTGGTAGAATTGTGAAAGTCTGTCTTGGTCTATCTTTGTGCTGAATCAGGATTCTCAGTTTTTTTCCCTTGACAGAATCCTATTCTCTTTTAGTTGTTGTCTCAGTTCCCTGGCTCTTCTGCCATGTCATTCCTAGAGTCAAACTGTATGTATACATTACCTCATTGAAAGCTGAAATCGTATTAGTATTCCAGAGGGGCGATTCTTCCAGAACTTTGTATCTGAGCAATCATACTTGCAAAGAAAGTCTGTGTTTATCTGTCAAGGACTAATGACAAAACAAAGTAAGCTAATTTGTAAGTTGTTTGTGTTTGCATAACTTGCCACCGCTAATTATGGTTAATTGCCAAGGTGTGCTTGGTTGTGTATCTGTCGTTGTTGTTCGTCGTTTAGTCGTGTCCGACTCTTCATGACCCCATGGACCAGTGCACGCCAGGCCCTCCTATCTTCCACTGCTTCCTGTAATTGTGTCAATTTCATGTTGGTTGCTTCGCAGACACTGTCCAGCCATCTCATCCTCTGTTGTCCCCTTCTCCTCTTGCCGTCATACTTTCCTAACATCAAGGTCTTTTCCAAGGAGTCTTCTCTTCTCATGAGATGGCCAAAGTACTGGAGCCTCAGCTTCAGGATCTGTCCTTCCAGTGAGCACTCAGGGTTGATTTCCTTTAGAATTGATAGGTTTGGTGACCCAGCATCTTCTCAATTAGCTGCAATTAGCTGCAACATTTAAGCAAACCTTATGTGAGTACCAAGAATATTCCAACCTGTATTATCAGAGCACAGACATGCTCTGATGATATTTTGCCAGCAGGACAAAATAAGATTCCATAAGGCAAATCTAAAAAAGCTGGCAGTACAAAAAAAATCTAGCTTTAAAACCAGGCTTCAGATCAGCACCAGATTTGGCACAGTGGGAGAGGACAGTCTACACCCTGCTCTGTGTCAAATCTGGTGGTGTTTGGTCAAATATTTATCAGTTTTAAATATAGACGTGCTTTATACACAAACCTGGGCAGAGCTATTTTTGTCAGCAAATAAGAATCTTTCATCATTTAAATAATTAATTTCTCTAATTACGTGCTATCTATAATGTATATTTGATCATCTATCTTTCTGCATGTTGTCCAAGTGAGGAGTGTATCTCCTCTATTTCTACATCGTGTGCCGGTTCTTTGTATTCCAAATATTTCCTGCAAAGCATCCCTCCTGTTTCTTCATCTTTCTTGTCCGTTGGCCTCCGTCTTTTCTACATCATCACATGACCTTTCTTCCAGTGTGTTGTGGAGTCAAACACCATCTCTGGAACCATTTGGTAGCTTTTTTGGGGGGGATCTAGTTAGTCCTTAGATTGCCGTTGTGTAACGTCTTAGTCAAACTACCAGTTTTCATTTCCCACATAGAAGGTGGTGTGCCAGTTTCTTTGTTCAGTTAACAAGTGAACATTCCATGCCACGGGCTTCACTGGCACCAGAACTATTCAGTAAAGACAACTAAAGTGCTGATGTTTACATTCTAATGAGCTTGGGTCTTCCAGTCCTATCTGCTTTTTATTTATTAGTGATTTCTGTGCATAGCCTGTATGTTGTCCAAGTGAGGAGTGTATTGTGACAATGTATCTCCTCTATTTCTACATCGTGTGCCTTTTGATGACATTCACTTTCCCTTGTTTTGTTTCTTCTCATTCTTTTCCTTTTTGCTATTTCCCTCTCCTGTTTATGGCACCTATCCTTCTCTTCTTTCCCATGTTGAAAAGAAATAGTTTTGGAAAGCACTTTAAGAGAAAATTGGACAAACATCTGTCAGATCTGCTTTGATTTGGATTCCTGCATTGAGCAGGGGGTTGGACGAGACAGACTTAAAGGCCCCTTCCAACTCCCATTATTCTATGATTCTATGATTAACAGTTTTAAAGAAGTTGTCCACATCTTTCAGTTCTAACGTTGTGTTCA